AAATAACTGAGTAACCCTTTACTCCTGGGAGTGAGGCTGCGCATACCCCTCCAAACGTTGGATTTCTCAGTTTGTTTCAGGAAGGAAATTGTTGTACACTTATAGATGGAGCAGGGATTCTTCCTGTGGAACTTGATGTTTGGGTGAGAGTCCCTATTCTCTTAAGAACTGCCTCGATTATTCTCTGTGATGTGTTCTTTCCCTTCCCTTGAGCATATATTTGCGGGGGGGGATAACTTCATGTCTTTCCTGCCCAGTACTTCCTGGCACAGAGGGTATCCCATTACATTGTGTACAAGAGGGGAAAAAAAGCTGCATTCCCAAGTAATAATAGTTTAGCTGTCTCTTTCATTCCAGTTGTTTCCCAAAATATCTTACAGGTAAGTTATAAATAATAGCAAAATTAAATTTGAGGTCAATGCAGGAGAGAAGAAAGATGTTTTCCAAGGATATTTAGGAAGAGTGGGGAGGTACAGAAGAGCTATTCCAACTGGCAGGAATTGCTGCTGAGAAGAGCATCCGAGCTTAAAGTTAAATGTATCAGTTCTTTTTCTTGTTCTTAGCGTGAGACTTAATTGCAGTTAGAGACCTAAACTTTTGATGGTGGGGAGAATGTTTAAATTATTGTTTTCAGTTTTTCTTATTGTTGTTTCATAGCTTGAGCTAGACAATTACCACCTGAAAAACTGTAATCAGAGGCTGACAGAGCAAATTGAAGCCCTTCAGGATGCATTACAAGGTAAATATGTTCACTTTGGAATCGTAACCTTGTCACCAGCTGAGGACTGGTGAGTCAGGAGTGCAGCCATCGAGTAGTGAGTATGACTTGGACAAGTGGCATAACCTCTGTTCCTTAATTTGTCCATTTTTGAAATGTGAACAACACTTACCTGTGAGGCTAAATTGTATCAGTGTCTGTAAAACCATCTGGATGGCAGAAGCTATAGAAGGCAAGTTGCTTTTAGTGTAAGTGTTGCTTGTTGGTTTCCAGTGCAGACTGACTCTTGGATATCTTGTTTAGGAGGTGGCTACTGCTGCCAAGTTAATAGGCTTGTCTTTTTGCTCAGGCTGTCATTGGCAAAACCTTTATTGACCTTAGTAGTTTAAGAACAAGTCCTTGATGAATTTCACTAAACTTCCTCCCCAGATAGAGACATCCACATTGCCAGAGGGCCACCGTCACAACTGGCTCTATTGGACTTCTTATTGACCATGTTAGCCGAGAGGAAGTAAAAACTGATTGAACCAAGGAAACTGAACTTTCCCTGTTGCTCTGGAGGAGCACATGCCCTGTAGGGAAGTGAACGGGTAACTGGTTACCCAGGAGCAGCCCCCCCCACTTGTGGCCCACAGAAGGCTGCTCCATCCCCACCAGGCCCCTGAGCAGCAGGCAGTCCTGTGGGGCCAGGAGCCAAAAGGCTGGGGGCTGCTCCAGCTGGGCTAGAGCAGTCCCCTGCCCAGAATCCTAGTTAGTCAGTTAAACGTTAGATTAACCTGACGTTTAACCAGTTAATTGATTAATTGGGATTTTTACATCCCTAGTTCCTGGTAGCACAAAGCTGAGGCATTTTGGCAGATGATGGTGGAAGAAGCTTATATTGTTTATGCTTTTGATGTACCTGTTCGGGTATGTCTACACTAGCCTCCTAGTTCGAACTAGGGTGGCTAATGTAGGCATTTGAACTTGCAAATGAAGTCCGGGATTTAAATATCCTGGGCTTCATTTGCATGTTTCTGGGCGGGCGCCATTTTTAAATCCCCTTAGTTCGAACTGACTGCCTGCGGCTACACGCGGCAGTCAAAAGTTAATTTGAACTAAGTCCTTAGTTTGGATTAACAGTTACTACTCCTGCAATGAGGTGTAACAGTTAATCTGAACTAAAGACTTAGTTCGGATTAACTTCTGACTGCCGCGTGTAGCCACGGGCAGTCAGTTCGAACTAAAGGGATTTAAAAATGGCGCCCGCCCGGGAACATGCAAATGTTTATTTAAATATCCCGGGCTTCATTTGCAAGTTCAAATGCCTACATTAGCCACCCTAGTTCGAACTAGGAGGCTAGTTAGGTACTGGAACTGGATCTTCTCTCCCCCCTTCACCCGCCCCTGCTTAAAATAGTTTCCATCATATGCAGAGTTTACAGTTTGGTTCAGTGGCCATCAGCGCCCCCACTATGCATGTTTTCCCAGCTCTCTGACTTGTTCTGTTTCTAAAGAGAGAGCTTTCTTTTCTAGGACTGTGAATCTAGCACCTTTCATCAGAAAATAATTCACTGTTAAAAAGAAGTTTCCTTTTCCCAAGCCTTAACTTGATTGCATTTAAAAAAATAAAATCTAGAAATGGGAGCAAATGACCTACATTTGCAGTAGGCCAATAGGGAGCATTTGTGTCCTGCTAAGCTCTCATAGTGAGATGTTCTATGCCCTGTCCCCACCCCTTCATCACCAGGGAAACTGTGCGAAAGTTCTTGCCAAATCCCAGCACACTTCCGGTCAGGTGCTTTTCAAGTGAGTTTCTCTCATCCCCTCTGGCTGTTTACACAGACAGAATGGCTGGTAAGCTGCATGAATAATCTAGTATTAAGTGTTCTCTGGGTACCAGTCCATTGGGCAGCAGACAGCTCAGCACTGCCCACCCAACCGCACAGACTCACTGTGCCACGTTAAATTGAGAGGCCCCAGTAGGCAGATAAATCTCTTGCAGCCAGCCATGCTGATATGAACAGCTTCATCTACTGACATCCCCTGTCATCCCTGGGAACCTGGAAACACACTAGTAATATTTCATATTAATAGCTTTTTTGCAGAGTTACACTGATGTTGGGGTAGGGCAGGCATGTCCAAAGTCTGGCCCGCGGGCCAAATGCGGCCCGCGGTCGGATTTAATACGGCCCCCCGCTTCTCCCGGCTCCCCGGTGCTTTTTTTAACTGGCGCGCTCAGCGCGCCGCTTCGGGCCGCCGCCGCCGCGGTCCCAAACCCTGCCCCTGCACTCCGCTTTGGGGCTGAGAGTGCAGGGACAGCCCCCGCTTCCTCCCCCTCTCCTGGCTCCCCGGCGCTCCTCTGACTGGCGCCGCTTCCGGCCGTGCCGCCGCCGTCCATGGCAGCCGCTGCGGTCCTAAAGCCTGCCATGTAGGGCACGTCCGCAACCCCGCTCCCCCGCTTGGCTGCGGGTTCGCCCTGCCCCCGTGCCGCCGTGAGGCCAGTGTGCCCTGCGCTCTCCTGTGCTGCAGTCCAGATCTCAGTTTCACCCTTCACATTAGTGTAGGCAAGTTTTTTTTTCAATTGAGATGAATACATTGTAAAATCTCAGTTAATGTCAGTTGGTCTAAATCAGTTATAAATATATTTGGACACAACATGTATACTTGGTGTTATGTTCCTGTTCATATTTTTTGAACTTAAAAGTTGACAGACAACCTTTATTACCAATAATATGTAATGTACTTTACAATGTTCCTGACATATATTTCAGCTTCCTGGATTTTTTTTCATCTGGCCTTCAGATATGAAAGGCAGAGTGATTTAACACCTGTTTAGATTTGTCATCCATGTGACGAAATGAAAAGTATGCTGTTTGCAATAAACTTTGCATAAAATAGTTAATTTGCATTTAATTTTAATGGTTCAAAGAATGTCAGGCAAAATGGTCGGCCCTCACGCATGTTCACTTCATCAAATCTGGCCCTCTTTGAAAAAAGTTTGGACACCCCTGGGGTAGCGGAATTTATACAGGGATCGTGTTAGGACTGGGTAGGCATCACAAGCTGTTCTTTGTGTCTATAGGGTCTGGTACTGATGGCCCTTGTTCCATCATATTTAGTCAGAGGACATAGCTGCCCTATAGAGCAGGGGTGAGCAACCTTTTTGCATTCGTGACCGCCGGACAGAAGGAAAAATTTTCATTGAGCAAAAAAAAAAAAATGTTAATTGCTACTCCGCTCCCTTTTAATTGCTGCTCTGCTCCTGCCACTTCCCCCCTATGGGTAGGGTTGCCAGGTGTCCGATATTGAACTGGACAGCCCAGTATTTGTGCCTTCCATCCGGTAAAAAAATGCAGAAAATACCGGACATCTAAGATGTCCAGTATTTTTTGTTTTTCCTGTAGCTCGGCTCGGGCGCCTGATGGAAGGCCACTTGGGACATTCGGTGCAGCTCGTAGGGGAAGTTGGGAATGGCCCAGGAATTAAAGGGGCTGTGACTGCACTCTGGCCCTCTCCCCCCCCTTTTTTTTTTTTTTTTGTTTTTTTTTTGAATTTTTTTCCTGGCTGTTTTTTTTGGGGGGGGGGGGGGGTCGGTATTTTTTTATGAAAGCGTCTGGCAACCCTATGTACGGGCACTGAGCCAGGCAGAGAAAATACCGGCTGGCCCAGATCAAGGCACTGCGACCCCCTGGAAGACAGCCGCGACTCCCCCGGGTTGTGCACTGCTGCAATAGAGCATACTGCCTTCCATCTTCATGGCTTCTTAAATAAGTCTACCAGTCTGGAATCCTGGAAACCTATATTCAGTTCATAAATGCTAAGTCCTAATAATCCTTCTCTCCGTGGGCCACTCCCATACCCATTCAGCATCTTCTCCTGCTTCCCCATGTCTCAGACTCAGTCCTGGCTGTTCTTGCAAGAAAGACTCCAAGCCTTCCAGCTTCTTGTTCTTCCCTTGGGCTGAGCAGGCTGCAGTCTTATTCCCCTACTTTCTCAAGCTGTTTTGCAGCTTCCTCTCTTATTGCCTTCTCCTGTCTCAGGTGCCTTCCCTTAAACCTGGTTGGGCAGCAGATAATCAGTCACAGGTGCAGCAGACTCTGCATCCTCTTAAAGGGACAGTCACCCTGTGACTGATCTCAAGAATGTGTATTTTAGGCCCAGATCCACAAAGGAACCTAGGAGCCTATCCCTTAGGTTTAGATACATAAGTCCCAGGACTGTTCCATTATGGCTAAACACTTAAACAGTCATTGAGACAGAGAGAGAAAAAAAGTGAGGATGGTTCTATAGCTCATTGGTTAGTGTGTCAATCACTCCTTCATTCCAGCTTCAGGGGGAGAGACTCAGTGAGCCCCACATGATAGTTCAATAGTTAGGGTGCATGTAGACTAGGGGTGGGCAATAATTTTTGCCCAGGGGCCACTTCAAAATTTTGTGAAGTGGCTCTGGGCCACTCCAGGGCAGGGCCTAAACTGGAAGGGGCGGGGTCAGAATGCTTTTGGGTAGCCCACCTGCAGACCATGATTGGTCTGAGGATGGGGGAGCCCCTTTGCCCCCACATCCCTCTAGACACCTCTGGCAGGGTGGGAGGAGGCTTTGCACGCTCCTCCACCCCCTCCCGCCCTGCAAGGAGCACATGGCACTTTGAAGGACACCAATTGGCCTGGGGAGCGCGCAAAGCTGCCTACCCCCACCCTACAAGGAACATGTGGCACTTCAAAGTGCTACACACTCCTCACAGGGTGGGAGGAGGCTTTGTGCTCTCCCCGCGCCCCCAGGCCAGTCAGGCTTCCTTCACCCTGCGTGAGCATATGGCACTTTGAAGTGCCGCGCACTCCTCTCAGGGTTGGGGCGGGGGGTGGGCAGAGGAAACTTTGCACGCTCTTTCCACCCCCCAGGCCAGTCAGGGCTTGGGGATGGGGGAGCGCGTGACATCTCCTCCCACCCTGCGAGGAGCGCATGGTGCTTCAAAGTGCTTCGTGGTCCTGCCATGGCGGGAGGAAATTTCATGTGCTACCCCACAACCAGACGCTAATTGG